CAGGAGTCCCTTGAAGATAATTCAAGAACTGGTCGACCAGCGGAGGTTATGACGGAAGATATTGTTGCGATTGTGGAAGAGGTGGTATTGAGTGATCGACGTTTAAAGGTCAAGGAAATCTTAGAAATTACTAAGCTTTCTGATACAAGTGTTCGTCGAATCCTGCATGGTTATTTAGGTATGGTGCAAGATTGGTTCTTAAAAACCTTTCACCTATTCAAAAACAACGCCGTGTCGAGCGTGCGCGGTCTTTTTTGGAACTCTGTAGATCGGAAACCTGTGATAGAAACTATTGTGACGGGAAATGAAACTGTGGTTCTCTGTTATGACCTTCTATTGAAAAAAGAATCAATGGAGCGGCGTCGTGAGGGTGAAGCACCTCCAAGAAAAAATAAAACAGAATGAAATAGATGGATAAAGACGCAACCCTAGTAGGACAAACATTGGTTTTCCAAAATATTAATGTTAATATTGTTATACAATACTATTCAGGAGTCAGACAATGGAACAGTTTCACTGACAGTCTTTTAGTTTTTTCTTAAATATTAAATATTTTTGTACTTGTAGTTGGTCCGAAAAGCGATTTGCTAGCGCGGCTGATCTAGTAAGAAAAGAAGTCTGCCCATAGTTAGTACGATGGAACTCTACCTGGAAGGAATGGTTTATTCTGGTCAGCTCAGGTCCATGACAATTTCAGTGCAGTAGACTATAAACAATGGCGAGATTTCCCATTAGGTCCTTTTAAGCAAAATTTATATATTTTTTATTATTTCATTTCTGTAACGAGATAAGAGATTAAATAAGTAAATCGTGCTAGAAACTGTTAAAAAAATATTAGAATATTAAAGACAGAAAACGGTGGACAAAATACACCGAACGCAGAAATCACATGTCCGTATAGGGTCTCTAGCCATTCTTCATGTCCACCAGTTGCCCACCCAACTCGACACGGATTTCCAACATCCTGTACCGCTGAACCTAAATCAAAAGACGTGTTTTTAAACGACGCGAGGGATTCGATGGAAAGCTTCCGCGCTGAGAACAGCACTAGCGCGTAAAGTACTGTCTAAAAGCATTACTTTTTTTTTAAGAAATGGTATTTTAATGGTCGTTTTTAATTTGCGAACCGACATTGTTATCTTTGGACATTTCGTCTCTGCGATATGGCCATGTCTCTCACATTTTGTTATCTTCTGTGCAAATCAAGAGATCCGAATTATTATTATTATTTGTTTGCCAATGTCATTCCTGAACCCTTTCGATCACGATTAATGGCAAAGCTCTAAATCTTCGTTTATCTTCTAATCCAAATCACATTCGGAAATTTCGAAAAATTAACGTTAACACTAAGGAAACCGGCAAACTCTTCTCAAACTCAAACAACTGACGAAATTCGATTTGAAACCAGAAAAATCCTTAAAAAATAAAAACCTATCTAATATTGCAAAGCCTGAAAACATTGCCCTAAAACATCTAAAATCTAATCCCGTCATTGTAATCCTTAAAGCAGATAAAGGAAATGTTACGGTGGTCATGAACACAAATGAATATCAGGAAAAGATTCAAGATATTCGGATTATATCGTCAACTTAAAAAAGATCCTACGCCATCTATGGAACGCAAACTTAAATCTATTATTAAGGTTTCTTCTCTATCAGACTCCGTGAAAAAAATGTGTCACCCTCCATGACTCTAAAATTCCTCGCCTCTACGGACTCCCAAAGATCCACAAACCAGGATTACCCCTTCGACCTATTGTCAGCACCATTGGTTCTCCAACATATTTTCTAGCAAAATATCTAGCTTTCTCATAAAATCTATTACAGGGGAAACTGACAGTTCCGTACTTATTTCCTTTCACTTCATTGAACAATTAAAAAGCAGTACATTAGATACACAAGATATTCTGGTTAGTTTCGACTTAGCCCTCTTCACTAAAGTCCCTATTCCTGAAACTCTTAACATCACTTCAGATATATTAAAATCCGAAAATCTGGAACCAAACCTCCTCACCTATATTGAAAAATGCTTGTCTGGAATATAATTGTCTTATAACAAACGTGGGAAACAGCTATGGGTTCTCCACTATCAGCAGTCATCGCGAATACATGAAAGCGCTCGACACCTTAGACTAACATTGGGTCATTGTGTTTACAGAAAATCTACGCACACAGCGATACCTTAATGCATTGTCACATCACCATCCAAAAAATCATCGGTTATCAATTCTCTTGTTTACAGAGCCGCAAAACTATCTCGGCCAGAGTCACTAAACCCAGAATTAAAACACCGTGTTTCTGCTCCTCTATAATAATTTCCACATTAAAGATATTTAGCGTGCCATCACAAAATGCGCTTCTCCACAATTTTCCAATAGCAATGGGGCCGAAAGCGATCCCACACTTGCCCCTGTTGTCCTCCATTCAAAAAATCACTGACCACATATCAAAAGTTCGAAAGAAATACAACTTCAAAACCAGAAAAACAAACGTGAAAGTTTGTGGCTGACACAACTAAAACAAACACAACAACACACCAGGATTTAACCTATATAGCAACAAAACTGTAGGCTTTATTACTCTCTACTCTAAAAGAAAGTTGAGAAAAATCAACATAAAAACTTTGGAACAATACTAACGTAAGAAAACCGATGTGGAAAAAACTGAACTGTTTTGCCAATATTTTCTAATCCAATTGCCCTAATTTTCTACATAGAACTAATTAGAAGTATCTTCCAAAAGCACAAATCCTTTATATAAATAAATTTTAGATCAGATTGGATAATTAAGATCAAACATCACAATTTAGTCACGATTTATTTATTCCAATATTATCAAGGAATTGTAACAAGTTAATTATTTCTTCGTTTTTTTTTATGTTATGTATTTATTTATTTAGTAAGTTAAATATTTTGAAACACATATCCAAGCATGCATCCTTTCGTTTATCGTTGGGGTTGACGTTTCTTTTTTGACTATTTTTTCCTGTTATCAATAATGTTATTTTGTTGCATTTTATTGTATTGGTTTTATAGGGTTCACATAATAAATATATACAGTATTCTGTGTTCTTTCGTTGTCTCGGTTGATTCTGTATGTTAGATGATGAAGTTTAACCGTATTAAACGAAACGTTGATCAAAAATCAAATGTTTATTTTATTGTCCTAAAACCATTTAAATGTTTTCCTAAATATTTTAACAATGTTTTCTTCTATTTTGTTTAAATCTGGGAATAGTATCTACGGAAGTTAAGGGATTAATTTTCCGTCAGGTAGATATTCCAGTGGCGTCCTGGAAAAAATTCAAACGTCAAAAGATTCAGTAAGCATTTTCGTATCTTCTATTATTTAATGTTTAGTTTTGGTTAAGTGTGGTTTTCATTATTTTTTATGGTTAAACTGAAGCGAAATCAGACGGACAAATCTGATTGGTGCATATTCTCTTTTCCAAAAATATTTAAATCTGTTTAGTATTTCGTTGTTGTTGTTTTCTTCTATTTTGTTTAAAGTTGAAAATAATATTTACGGAAGAATAGGGTACATTTTCCGTCAGTTAGACATTCCAGTGGCGTCCTGGAAAAAATTCAAGCGTCTAAAGAATACGTCAGCATGTTCGTATCTCGTTCTATTATTTATGGACAAGTCTGAACTGTGCATTTTTTTTGCATTTAAATCTATTTAGTATTTCGTTGGGGTTGGCGCAACTAATACAAAAAATTAAATATAACAAACATTTAAATTTACATTAAAATTTCAACTCTTTTCTTCTATTTCCTTTAAAGTTGAAAATAATATTTACGGAAGTATAGGATTCATTTTCCGTCAGTTAGGTTTCCAGTGGCGTCCTGAAAATAGTTCAAACGTCCGTAAGCATTTTCGTATCTTGTTGTATTATTTAATGTTTAGTTTTTGCTTAAGTGTGGTTTTCATTATTTTTTATGGTTATAATGAGGCGAAACCAGACGAACAAGTCTGATTGGTGCATATTTTTTTAACAAAAAATATTTAAAACCTATTTAATATTTCGTCGGATTTTGCTCAATTAATAAAATAAATTAAATATAACAAACATTTAAATTTAAATTAAAATTTCAACTGTTTTCTTCTATTTCCTTTAAAGTTGGAAATAATATTTACGGAAGTATGGGCTTCATTTTCCGTCAGCTAGATTTCCAGTGGCGTTCTGGAAAAAGTTCAAACGTCTAAAGAGTCCGTAAGCATTTTCGTATCTTGTTGTATTATTTAATGTTTAGTTTTTGCTTAAGTGTGGTTTTCATTATTTTTTATGGTTATACTGAGGCGAAACCAGACGAACAAGTCTGATTGGTGCATATTTTTTTAACAAAAAATATTTAAAACCTATTTAATATTTCGTGAGATTTTGCTCAACTAATAAAAACAATTAAATATAACAAACATTTAAATTTAAATTAAAATTTCAACTGTTTTCTTATATTTCCTTTAAAGTTGGAAATAATATTTACAGAAGTATGGGGTTTCGGTCAGTGGCGTTCTGGAAAAAGTTAAAACGTCCAGACAGTCCGTAAGCATTTTCGTATCTTGTTCATTATTTTTTATGGTTAAACTGATGCGAAACCAGACGGACAAGTCTGATTGGTGCATGTTTTCTTTGCCAAACATATTTAAATCTATTTATTAATTAGTTGAATTTGGCGTAACTAATACAAGCAATTAAACACAACAAATATTTAAATTTAAATTTCAATGATGTTTTCTTCTATTTTGGTTAAAGGTTAAAGGGTCAGTTAGACATTCCAGTGGCGTCCTGGAAAAAGTTCAAACGTCTGAAGAATAAGCATTTTCGTATCACCTTATATTATTTAATGTTTCGTTTTTGCCTAAGTGTGGTTTTCATTATTTTTTTATTGCAAAAAATATTTAAAATTTATTCAATATTTCGTGGGATTTCGCGCTACTAATACAAAAAATTAAACAAGACAAATATTTCAATGAACTTTATTGATACAAAGTCACAGTGCATTAGTAGGCCCGTACTCTGGGAGGCACCGATGGACACTCGTTCTCGTCCAACGTACAGTCAACAACGGGCCGGTAAGTCAAGCACACCTTAACAAATTTACATTATATTGAATAATTACGTTACGTAATGGTAGTACATTGGCGAGTTGTTAATGAAAATACCATATATAGGCTCCATACACGAGCAGGCAGTTCAAATGGCCAAAAGTCACACCAACATTTTGCGTCTTTGTTTCTTTCAATAAGTGCCAGTAACATCGACGGCGTTTTTCGTTGTATAATTGAAAGCAAGTTCCAAATATACAAAACTAAAATTTAGCCTGGCTCAAACTTGACAGAAATAAGAGTACAGTACAACATAAAAATGCTAAATATTGCTATAGTTGCCACTACTATTACCACTATTCAAAGAGACCAACCTTGATAGAACTCTATAACTATGGAGAAAGGGACAATAGATCATTGGCTCGCAGTGAGGGACAGGCTAAATGGATCTGAATTCAGATTCTTGAATCTGCCACAAATACGTTGACATTGCGGGATATCTCGGTTATGAGTAATTTCCTGTTTCGAAAATTTTCTACGGCCATGCAATAGTTGTAGTGTTTCCGTTCTGATGTTATCAAAACCTGGTGATGTTTTCAATATTAGCGATCCTACAGTTTGCATAATTTCTACGGGAGTTGTTTCTAATTGGAATTGCTCTCAGGTGATTAAATTAAATTAAATTTTTATGCAAATTTTCCCCTCACGTTTTAGAAATGGTTATTACAAGTTTCTGCAATTTGACAATAGATACACATAATTAAATCGTACCACTCAAATGCTTGGCAGTCAAATTAAAAAACAAAAAAGTACGGAACCCCCAAGTTGGTAAACCATCGAACGATTTAACTAACACACGAAAATGTTATATAATCTCTGTAGCAACAATTCAAATTCTGCTTTAGTATTTCGTGTTTTATTATATTCGAAGGTAGGCTTACAGCAAATAGATATGTGGGAATACTGAAAAATATTTGACAAGAAATATGCGAAGAAGTCCTTTTAACTCAGCTTAACAATATTTGCCACCGTCTAAGTCGTGCAAACAATTATGTCTATCAATTTTTGAGTATCTCGAGTTTATAGAAATCTTAAGACAAAGAGTTTTAGACACATTTACAAATATCAACGGAATGGTTCTACGAAATTTTCGTTTTTTTTTTCTACTTTTTCTTTTAAAAAAACACACAGTTGGTAATTTTTACAAAACGTCTGACTTGTTGAGAAGTTGTCCTTTACGTTCATGTTTCATTGCTCACGTCCATGTGTGTCTGAATATTGTGAATTTACACATTGTATACCGGGAAGGCTGGTATTTCGTTTTTAAAGAAAATTTCGAAAAAAAACATCCACGCTGGAAGTTTTTAACCAATCAAAAGTAAGTAGTAAGTGGAAATTTGGCAGTAATGAGGTTCCTATTATTAAATATCATGTTACTAAAGGCGATGTTACATTCGAAAAAAATTAACTTTTTTTTTACATTTCAGGCTAACGTTTAACATGTTTAAAAAAATAACATATCAAATGTTAAAGTTTGTTCATAGATATAAGAAAGTGACTAACTGATACGAATTAAGGAAAGGCCCGGGCAAGCTGTAAGAACGAAACATGGCCGAACAGGTCCGCACTTTGCTTAGAATTTAATTATTTGGCGTTTTATTAGCAAAGATACTAAACAATATTTATTTACTTATGTATGTACTTATTTTTAAATCTAAAATAAAATTACAAATTATTTTTACTACCTACTTAAATTACTTAAAATTATTCACATAATATGTCAGTATCACTATCGCTATCGTCGCCTGTTCAAATTATTATTTGTTCTATATTATTTGCAATATGGATATACGATTGTTCTGCTTTTTCTATATGTTTATCAGAATTTGGCCAACTTTGTGGAGGAATGTTAAAAACTTCGGTTTCTATAATTTTGAGGACATTGGAGTTAATACGGGGAAAAACATTGTTACGACGAATGGCAGATTTCAGTTGGTGCCAAACATGTTCAATGGGATTAAATATACAGTGGTAAAGTGGAAGCCTTAAAACTGTATGCCCCAAATTTTTTGCATAATTATCACAGACGTATTCCTTTTGTAGGTTCAAGCTTTGTAGAACCTCAATGAATTGCTTTTTGGTATAATCTTCGTGAAAATAAGTGTCGTTATTATACATGTAGTTTTACATTGTTGCTTTTGTGTCACCTGAGGAAGGGGTTTTAGTCAACTGTCTACTGTGATAACTTGCATTGTCCATTACAATGACGCTATTAGGAGGAATGTTTGGAACTAGTTTGTTTTTAAACCAACTTTCAAATAAATCGGCGGCGGTGTCTTCACGGTAATCCAGAGAAGAATCTTTAATATTTTTCGCAGACAGAGAAAGTCCATTTGGAATCTTTAGTATCAGCGTGCAAAACAGTTTTACCTCTTTGTGATGACTCGTTTGTTTTACACTTATCAGTTGAGTCAACCCAACCCTTTTTCGGAGTATCGAACCAGGTTTCATCCAAGTATATAATTGGTCTTTGTTGTTCTCTGTAAATCCTAATTTTTTATAGATATTCCAGTCGCCATTTCCGAATTCTAAAAGATTCCATTAAAACTTGCCTTTTGTCAATTTTTTAAAATCTAAAATCCATGTGTTGAATACACTTCCATAAGGTAGTTCTGGCACATCTAACACCGGTTTCACCTTTTTCAAGCCTTTTAATTAAGATATCTAATATAGGCGCCCTAGAATAGTGTTCTCTACATTTGGGCGGGAGCATCTCCTGAGATACACTAGACTCGCACATATTTGGATAATTCGCACACGATTCAGCACACGCTGTATTACACACGGCATAAGCATAAGGAACTTAATCTAAGTAGTATACCAAACCAAAGAATATTAAACACAGGTAGGTATAAAATTATTTTCAATTACGGACCATAATTTTACCTGAATTTAAATTCCGAAACTTTAGGTAATAATCTTGAATGACGACTCTTGGATAATCCCATTCAAAAGCGATTGGTCACATTCTTATACCCATGAACAGACCATACTTTAAATTACGTTAGGTTAGTGCAGTGATTATCGTTTATGAAGCTCTTTATTAGAACTCACTCGTGTATGGTTGCCTTAACGCGAGAATCGCATATTTTTAACGCTAGCAAATTTGAATAATTAAAACTCTCACCTCTCCAGTTTCGACGTCCATCCAACACAACGTGTGCTTCCTCCAGTGTTCTTCGAAATTCTTCCTCTTCTGACCTTTGATCGGTTTGGAATAGTCATACTCATCGATCCGCTGTTTGTAATCATCTCGGGCATGGGCTCCTCTAGACTCTTTTCGGGCTTCCATTGCGGAAATAGTCTGAAGCGCGTTGATAAACAAGTTCTGCAGCTCCAACGCTTCAACGAGGTTCGTATTCCAAATCATGTGGTTGTCGGTCACGTGGATGTTGTCCAAGTCCTTGTAGAGGTCTTTGACTACCTGCACCCCTTCTTGCAGGATGGCCTGGGTCCGAAACACTCCCGCATGTTTCTGCATTGCCTTTTGAAGTTTGACTCTGGAAAATAGAAAAAAATTACTGAAACGGATGATGGAATCTACAGGGATTAGAAAAACCATATAAAGAACTCATACTTGCTGACTTATCGCCAATTATCCTGTTGGCCGATTCAGAGATTAACTTTAACTGGCTCGCGTTCTATTCTGTACCTGCTTATATATTTTTTGAGAGGGTGAAGCTAAAGGAAGGACTTGTTTACAAAGCCATAAAACTATCACAGAACCCAGAATTAAAACACATTACATCTACTCTTTTCTGTAATAATAGCCACATTCGAGATATCAAGCGAAACACACAACCTTTCAAAGCCAATAAGTCCGAAAGCAACCCCACACTTGCCACTGTTGTCCTTCCTTACATTCAAAACATCACTGATCACATATCCAAAAGATCCTACAGAGACAAAATTCCGTTTGAGATACTAAGAGTTTACGGCATTCCATGCATATCAACATGTAAGAGCCTTAAGACTACGAAATTTTATTCGATAAAACTAAAATTCTTCCATCTAACCGATTCTTCTGCCAACTAAAAGTCGGAGAATCAATAGAAATCTATAAGCATCTATAAGCATCTAAACACTCTGGTCTTTACCAATATGGGAATCAGTCATCCGACAGAATGTTCGACAGGATGAATGGCGAAACATCAGCAAGTTCTATTTATCATTCATCGTCATTCACCAATGCTGGAGGAATTCAGAATATTTGTTAAAAATATGTATTACATTAGCTCGTGGAAGTTTCTTTGAATAATTAACTTAATCGTTATCCATTAGCAGCTTGCGAAATTGGCAGAACTATTATGTTCAAATCAGTGTTCTACAGTTGTGAACGGCCTCGTGTGGAGCACAAATGTAGCAGAGTTGATATCTGAGGAATGATTAGAGCTGCTAAGCGTTTTTAAGTACGTCATCTGTTATGGTGCCACTTTAATATAAAAATAAGACGAAAACAAAAAAAATATATCTGCTACTTGAATTCCAGAGCATTAATTACATTTTAAAAATAAAATATATTTACGAAGCAAACTCTTAAAAGGAAAGGAAAAAAATATGACCATAATATCCACTAAATATATCACTTACAATGAAAGCATGCAGAACGCAGTTAATGAAGCGGGACCAGGAATAGAGAGATAAATAAATGCAGTTGCTGTATATATCAGTGTATATTGTCTATAGAGGCGATGGCAAAGTTGGTATCTCGTTACATTCGAAAAATCGCAAATAAACTTATTGAGGCGTTTCAAATGAAATCTGAAGCCGAAAATTCAGTCACAGTCAATAACATTTTCATTTAACCACCTCAAATGACGGAAAATTAATAGCCAAGGTGTAAAAGTGATTTGTTATATTGTATATAAGAAACTCACCTTAGAAGTTTGCTTGGAATTTTAACCCCAAACTAAGCCAAAAAAAAATTTTGAACCTTTCGTGATATAGATGTTACCGGAAGAATGAAAAGCCAAGCAGCTTCGACCAAAGCAGTCATCATGTTTGATTTTTGCGAAGGACCTTCATTTTCTATTATATCTGCTTGCTCCTTGGCATCGACTGTCTTCCCATTTTGAGATGATAAAAAACCTCATATGCTCAGCAAGACTCAGCATGATGATTCACACGTACTAATGAACAAAGTAATTGCAAAGAAATACTCAAACTTCCATTGCCTTCATTTTTCTACCCTACAGCATTCAACCGTGACGCAGTATGATGCAGTCGAGCCTGAGGTTGTTCCGCTATGACCCCAACATCGGTGGGCTCTTTTTAAGGTTGCCAAATTATGGGTATTTCCAAAGGTGTTGCTAAAGATGGAGAACCCGCGCTTCGGACCATTTGATGTGGTGTTGTTTGATCCACACACACTCCGCGATATGTTCTTTGGATTTCATCCTTCATACTTCAATACTTCATAATTCATTGCTCTTTTGCAGAGTGTTTGGATGAATCCTATTTTGGTTGCACCAGCATGGTTAGAGTCACACAGAACCCTCATTTCTACTTACTACGACATTTAGAAACAAAAGGTAGCAGTTCTTTTCTCAATAGTAAATTTAATGGACGGTGGCAAAGAATGAAGATGATTGAGAAAGGAATCTGGCTGTATATCGCTTCTACTCCAGATGATAAAGTTATCTGTAGCTTTAATTTGAAACCATTCCATGTGTATGTTCGCTAGCACCGGTGGTAGCGCAATTCTGTCTGGAAGTGTTGTATCATTCCTCAATCTGACCTCAACAATGTCTAACGAGCCCCTTAAAAAATAATGATAATTGAAATTCGAAGTTCGAATTTCTTCATATTTCTACTGGATCATTGTCAAGCAAATAATAAAGTAATTGCAAATTCACAAAATGAATTGCTTCGAAAATATGAGCCATTAATTTTCAACCACACACCTACCACAATTGAACTTGATAATTTATACGCTACAAGTATTAAGAAGAAGTGGAAGAAGAAGTAGAATATTGGAAAAGGAAACGATAATTGCACTCTTTTGTTGTTCCTTGCATTTGCAAAAAACTGGTATTTGGAATTAATCTTGATTATATTTTTTAATACACAACCAACTTTTTAATGTATGACAAAAACTGGGTGGATAGAGGATAAGTAGCTAATTGATGGTGATAATACGCGGTATAAATATTTAAGAAGTATAATTTCGAAAAATGTCATAGTAAAGTGGACATTCTAACAAGATCATGCTGAATATCTATAACAGAGCACTGCGGAGAAATACGGACTGCTCTGATACGGAACTGTGGTAACGATGGACAGTGCAAAATCCAGCCCGTCTTCTGGAGGAAGGCAGGGTGGGCAACCAACAGAAAATTATCATTCCTGGAGGACAGCCATTTGCTAAAAGAGTCACTGAACAAGGCTGACCTACTGGTGAAGAGACAGCGTTGGTTCACGCACATGTGTTATTCTATGAGAATCATCATTACGTCATCCATAAAATTCAAGTGCGTTATCGCCCCGATGGCTCTCCTCTGTATAAAAAAAAACTCTTTCGGCATGTGAGGAGTGGCCCCAAACCAAAATTGCGTAGCTAAATATTCCCGAAAAAATATACCATTCAGGCTATATTTTGAGAGACCTCGCCGACCAAATCGCGCAACAAGTACACCACCCTAGAGAGCTTCTCACAAAGACCTGCTCGAACGTCAATTTCGGATCAAGCAGAACCCCAAGACAGTTCACATGTAATGGATTGTTAAATGTTGACTCGCGTAAAAATAGATTGATGATTGATTCATTGGGGTTAAGTTTGTTTTCACGAAACCACTCACTGTGCCCACTCCATCCTGTATACCAAGTCGTTCTCAGATTGACCTCGACAAGAAAAGGTAGTATCATCAGCTAACAATGTACAAACTATGTTAGCAACATGCTCAGGTAGATTGTTTATATAGATCAAGAATAGAAGAGGGCCCATAATGGATCCTTGGAGTACTCCATGTTCAACAACTCTAATTTGTGATGATTTTCCATTCAGGGCCACGATCTGCCTCCTGTTGAGAAGATAACTTTGAAGGAATCCAACCAATGAGGGATTCACAGCATACCTCTGCAATTTACTCAGAAGAACAGGATGCCAAACACAGTCAAACGCTTTCGAAAGATCACATAGGACCGTGCCGGAGTACTCTCTGCTTTCAAAAGCTGCGCAAACCTGATCAACAACTCTACTAATCGCTCCACAAGTCGATTTACCACGTGTAAACCCAAGCTGGGTGGGAGACAATAAACCGTTGTCCTCGAAGCTGTTAATTGAGAATATAGAATGTTTTCAATAATTCTACCGATTGTGCAGATAATAGATATTGGACGATAATTATTTATGTCATTTACATCGCCCTTCTTGAAAACTTGAATCACTCTGGACAACGTCAAGTAGATGGGAAAAATACCCTCGGATATACCTGTTCGTCAGTGGAATAAATACTATGTCTTTAATGTATTGGATAATATTGATAATTATATCATATATGTCTTTACTATCATTACACTTACAACTGGTCAGGATGTCTCTAATTCTGAATATATGAGACTTCACTGAAACAAAAATGCTTATCCGTATGCGCCCTCATCGACTCAGTTTTATCTTAAGTATTTGAAGTTAATTTATTTGCTGCGTGTGAAAAATATTCATTTAAATTGTCGGGAGTGATACCCAGTGAAATGAAATTTTGATCCACTCTTGCGTTTCCTATTGATGACCTCCCATGCTGCCTTAGAAGTGTTATTGCTTTTATTTATGTAGAACGAGTTGGTTTTGGTTAATTAGCAGACTTTTTACATAATTTTAATTTTTTAATTTTATTTTCGCCCTGTAAGCAGCCCTATGCGATTTTATTAAATTTTCGATATCGGGAAATTTAGGATTTTGCCTTTTTGATATCCTGGTAAACGTTTAGCTGACCCCGCATTTCTCGTAATTCGTCGGTATACCATTCAATATTTAATTTGTTATTTTTAACTATTTTATTCTTGAGGAGAAAGTTAAGTTAATAAAGAAAGTTGCACAACCTTGTTCAGGACATCATACTTGCCTAAGCTGACCGACCGAATATTTTCCTTTGGAGTAACGGATTCGGTCAAAGTTGTTCAACGTCTCTTCGCCCAGCGATTCGTCGATTGTGACCGCGTCGCCAGGAACGTCGCATTCAGCGATCTTAGTGGCCACCGCTTTGCCGAACACCACCGTCTCCAGCAGCGAATTCGCTCCGAGTCTGTTGGCACCGTGAACCGAAACGGAGGCGCATTCCCCGCACGCGTACAGCCCTTTGACAAGGGCGTCTTCGTTCGGACCCACCTGGCTGATCACCTGACCACTATAGTTGGTCGGAATGCCGCCCATCGTATAATGGACGGTCGGTATCGTCGGAATTGGCTCCCTCAGGATATCAACCCCTGCAAAATCCATCGCCGTCTGACGTATACCGGGCAACTGAGCGAGGATCTTCTCTTTGGGGATATGGTGGAGCTGAAGGTGGACGTACTCCTTGTTCGGTCCGCAACCCCTGCCTTCCATTATCTCTATGGTGCAAGACCTGGACACGACGTCTCTCGATGCCAAATCTTTCGCTTTCGGAGCGTACTTTTCCATGAACCGCTCTCCCTTATCGTTGACGAAATAGCCGCCCTCTCCTCTGGCACCTTCCGTGATGAGGATACCGAAGCCGTATATCCCGGTCGGATGGAACTGGATGAACTCCAGATCTTGCAGGGGTAAACCGGCACGAGTCACCATAGCGGTACCGTCTCCTGTCGAGGTGTAAGCGGCGGTGCAGGAAAAATAAGCTCGCTCGTAACCTCCCGTAGCAAGAACTGTGTTCTTGGCGAAGAACCTATGAAGGGTGCCGTCTTCCAGGCACCAAGCCCACACCCCCCTGCACCGATCCCCTTCCATGATCAGATCCAGCGCGTAATACTCGACGAAAAACTTCACGTCGTATTTGACGGCTTGTCCGTACAACGTGTGAAGCATGTAGTGGCCGGTCGCGTCTGCAGCCGCGCATGTGCGATGCGCTTGACCGCCTTCACCGAACTTGAGCGATTGGCCCCCGAACGCGCGCTGATAAATTCGTCCGTCTTTCATTCGCGAGAACGGCATACCCCAATTCTCCAACTCCTGGATGCAGCGCGCAGCTTCCTTCGTCATGAAATGGATCGCATTTTGATCGCCGAGCCAGTCGGAACCTTTGACCGTGTCGTAATGGTGCCAAACCCAATAATCGTCCTCGTAGTTGCTCAACGCCGCGTTGATACCACCCTGTGCTGCGACCGTGTGCGATCTGGTGGGGAACAGTTTGGTGACGCACGCGGTCTTGAAACCTTTGCTCACGAGACCGAAGGCGGTCCTCAAGCCGGCACCGCCCGCCCCCACGACCACACAGTCGTATTGGTGGTTGACTATTTGGTATTTCTGTTTAATCTGGAACGCGTGAGAGGTTAATCGGGTGGTTTGGATGGGGCGGATAGATACGAACCTCGCCGGTACCTTTGATACACCTCGGCTTCTCCGTGCTGGCCGAAACTCTGCGGCAGGCTTGGAGCGCGACATTGTTTCGTCGTAATAAATATTTAAAAATGCTCCACATCGTTTTTGACTATTCGATCTGTCATAACGACGATGAGTTGTTGACAGGTGACGGGACGAGCCTCGTCGGTTATGCTTACTTAACAAATATAAAAAAGTAAGACTTTTAGCTTCCTGAAGTAATTTTGAAGTAATTGAAGTCCCAAGATCGTAAGAATAAAAAAAAGGGTGGATTAATTTATGACAGTGTTCTTTGTGTGTATTTGGTTTATATAATAATATTGTTGATTATTTAATTTTTCAAAGAAACTTCAACGGGCTACTCTAATACTGTTTCCAAAACTTGTTGTTGAGTCGAACTGGCTAACGTTTCGGCAATCATCCTATTAGCTTCCTCAGTTTCGGTTAACCTCTGAAGAAGCCAACAGGATGATTTGCGAAACGTTAGCAAGTTCGATTAAACAACAACCGACGCTGGAGGAATCCAGAAGCGAAAATACACTAATCGATTCCAATAGAAACCATCTCCTCTATATACACAATATAAGACCCACATATATATAAATACGTAATGTACGTATACATAAATACGTATTTACTGGAAGGCTCACATTCAAATACCTCCATAATATATACGAAGATTCCACAATTTAGATTAAGCTCTTAAGAATGACACATATCACCTGATGTTAAAATAAACGCTTCTTCTTATTCGAAAATACCCCGCAGCATCAATGCCTAATCAAATTTAAAACGGTCCATTTCCGTTTCAAATAAAAAATTCAAGTTTCTACAAATATTCGTTACGGTCCATCTCAGGAAAGACCTACTTAATGCGGAATGGGGTGGGATGGGTTTTACTTCAAACGTCAAAGCAATAAATGCAACATATTTTTGTTCTGATTATAACTCGAACCGCCTACTCGCATCAAGATTAAAAAAACTGTTTTCCCTTCGTTAAGGGTCAAGCTATTTTTTGTAAACCAATCCTTAGCTTTTGTTAATTTACATGGTTTAGTCCTGCAGTTGTTGTTTTACATGCGTTATTAGTTTTCCAAATAAAATGAAAAGATGATGAGATAACTATTAATATATTTTAAAAAGTAACAAAAAATGAAGATAACTGTAACTCGATTCAAGTAACACAGGTCTAGAGTGCTTTTGATGCTTGAAAACTGTTTGCTTATTTTTGGGGGCTCTTTTTCAAAAAAACGCCATATTTTTGTAATATACATACCTACGGCATGAATATATTTGGTCCATGTTAGGCATGATTTTTAAATGAATTGATTTTTATGAAATTAAATATGATTTAGCAGTGACATTGTGTGAACAATCCAAATAACTTTTGTTATATCTGTGGTAATTAGGTCATAGTAAAGCTAAAGCAAGCTATAAATAATACGCATACTTTGGTTTACAGATTGGCGATTAAGACAGGTCCTGGGCTCCTCATACATACTGTTTGCTCCGTTTGCGTTGAAGCAAAAAGATAGGAACAAATGTTAAAGGGTGTTCCTACGGTCTGGCGAGAGCCTACGAATCATAGTGATGACTGTTATTTTTGTTCGTGTAATGTTCAAGGATTCAACAGAAAAAATAAGACACAAATTGCGTATTCCAATCTTGACTCTGCTATTCGACCAGTTCCTCATGGACCAGATGAAAAAATCGTCATGTCGTCAGAATCAGAGTAATCTAATTCTGACCCAGATGACTCAAATTTCATAACCGAATTCAGAGAATCGGAAGTGTTTAACCAGTGTATGCTTTGCGGTTAAACAAAATTTCCATACTTTATTTATGAATGGGATTGTCGGGCAAGGGATAGACATTGGACTCAAATAGAACAAGCCTTACACCTAGTAGCAAAAATGTATTAAGAGATAGCTTAGTTGACCCCAAAAAAATTTTACTATAATAATAATAATAATAATAATAATAATAATAATAATACCTTATAGCTCATAAAGGTATACCAAAAACTTATGATAAGCTGGAATCTGAAACCGAAATAATGTATCTTAACAACGCGTATTATAAATATCTAGGATATGAGCAGAATCTTAATATGAATCAGAACGATGCTAAGGCTAATATAGAAACTAAACTGCAAAACAGGGTGATAAAAATATTAAAAACGGAACTAAACGGAAAAAACAAAATTAAAGCTGTAAACACATGGGCGGTACCGGTAATCACGTACACGTTTGGTATATTAAAATGATCTAACACTGACTTGGAGAGGCTGAACAGGAAAATAGGGACCCTCATGACAGAGCATAGAACTCACCATCCTAAGGCATGCACTGAAAGGCTATACTTACCAAGATCGACGGGCGGAAGAGGATTGGCTGACCTCAACATACTGCATAGGCGTCAAGTAAATCAGTTAAAGAAGTTCTTCCACCGTAAAAAAGATACTTCGACGTTGCATAAGCTCGCTTGTCAGTCGGATAGATACTCAGCTGTAGATCTCAGAAAAAATGAAATAAAAGAGATACCAACACTTGATGAGGTAAAAGAGAAGTGGTTGAGTAAGCCCCTTCATGGAAAATATCCAGCTAGTTTAAAAACTGCTGGGAGCGAATCAACAAATTGGTTAGTTAAGGGGCAGCTATTCGCTGAAACTGAAGGATTTATCACAGCTATTCAGGATGGAAGCATAGCGACTAGGAATTATAAGAAGTATATCCAAAAGATCAGAATAGATGATGATAAATGTCGTATGTGTGGACGGGTGCCAGAGACCATCGAACATGTAATAGCAGGATGTCAAACGCTAACTCCGTCTGAATACACCAAAAGGCACAATTTAACAGCAAATATTGTACACCAAGAACTAGCAATGCTATGCAACCTAGGAGAGGGAAAATACAGTCCATATTTTAAATACATACCTGCTCCAGTTCTTGAGAACGAAATTTATCGGCTATACTGGGATACACCTATAGTAACAGATAAACCAATAGCCAGCAATAGACCAGACATTATTCTGCTGGATAAGGCTAATAAAAAGGCGTATTTCATCGACGTCCCACATCCCTCGGACCACAACCTGGAACAGAAAGAGAGAGAAAAAATTAATAAGTATTACGACTTGGCAGAGGAATATAAAAAAATACTCACCCTAAAAGCAGTACATGTTATCCCTGTAATTATATCGGCCACTGGGCTAGTTACCAAGAAGCTTGCAGGATACCTGGAAAGACTGAATATAACGAATAAAACCATCGTTACAAAAATGCAAAAGTCCGTAATACTTGAAACTTGCAAAATCGTCCGAAAGACCCTGAATATCCCGGAGACATAAACCTTCCCCCCCCCAACTTTAGTGACTGGTTAATAAAGCCCACTAAAGCTGCTACCCTAATAAGGAGGAAAAAAAATAAAAAAATAATAATAATAATAATGATAAAAAAACAATATACAATATTAATATTTTTCAAAACAAAGTAAACAGATAGCTCAAAAACGGCGCAGTCTAGCTTTAAATAGTTACTCTACTGATCTGAATACATTGCGCACTATTTATTGAAATAAGAAATGGATGAATAGCAAACAAAATATGAAAAATACCTGTAAAATCGGAAGAACAACATAACTCTACTACACACTACAGAAAATGCAATTGAAGATAAAGAATTTGATAACTCAATATAATCCCTTGCTAATAATATAATTAGTAACAAATTATTAGGAAAACTGTATTTGTAGCGCGTGAATTAGAGGAAAAACCATAGAAACTCAGCTTGGAAATCTATAGGTCTTGGTTCACCTCATCGAATGCCTTCAAGGTTTTATTTCAAGAAGTAATTGATCTTGGGAACTCTAAGGACGAAAACAACGAAAGTATTGTTCAAATATGTTACAACACTTTAATCGCCTAGGTTGTAATATGAGTTTTGTTTTCACATTTGAACTATTTTCCTCAAAATCTTGGAGTAGATAGTGAAGAACAGGGAGAGAGGTTTCACCAGGACATTAAGGAAATGGAACGGCGATACCAAGGCAGATGGAGCAAAACACACAGCCGATAGTGCAGACAGCGCAGCTTGCTGGCAAAAAGACGAAGATTTCACTCAAAAAAGTCTGAGTAAAGTTTTTTTTTCACTTTTTTACTCAATAAAAAAATTAATTATTTTAGAAATACTTTTTTTTTCCTGTAATATATGCAAAAAAAACTAAAAAATATCGAAAGACGGCGGCTTGACCCTTTTCGTTGTTACTTCTCGTTAAAAGATAACCCGTCTTCGCATTTATTTAATTTTTCCTTTTTTGCCAACCGCGAAGCAGAGGAGTAGTAATCTTCTTCCAAATTGAGGCGCGCAAACCGATCCAACAGGTCCGACAGCAACGGTCCCAAGCAATTATTTAAATACTGGTTTGTATTATGGCTAACGGAATACCGAAAATTTAAATTCGCAGCCCGCGGCCATTTTAATAATACTCGTATTTTTGAGTCGCGTTCACATGCTCATTTGCATTCATGAACCTCTATTTACATTTAAATTCCCAATTATACGATATAAATAAAACGAATTTGATAAATCGACTCCCTGAGTCGTATTTTCAACGTTCGTATTTTTTTCCTTCAAAGCGCGGAATTGCATTTTATGGAACGATGTATAGTTTTTTTTACGGGCGTGTATACTGTGGGCCGTTTATCTTGGGTCACTACTTTATCTCAGAAACTATAGGCGATGGGGCCAAAAGTTTAATACAAATTGTTAATTCACGTATTACAAACCTTTAATTTATTTTAAAAGTTTTGTGGCAGACAAAGGACTCGAATAACGGATTCCGTAAGAAATTTCGATACATATTAATACAGGGTGCGAGAAAAATAAGATTAAAATGAAATTAAAAAAATTGGCAAAAAACTTTTTTTGTAATGGAAACTAATTGATATTTTTAAAATCTGGTCATATTTAGCATTAAAAATTAAGGCAATTTTATATTCACTAATATGTTTTCTTTTGAAATATTTTTAAATATTTGTCTATCACAAATAATACGGTGTTGCCACTATAGTTAGTGTAAGGTGGTTATGACGGCGTTCCTGCTACCAAATTAAATTTCGTGGTTG